AAAAATTTTTCATACTTATTCCAAGATGGTTTGAAGGTCCAACAATGACAATAAATTAGGGAGAATAATGTATAACAGTCATAAAATGTTATGTTGTATTAAAGAGCTTAGCTAAGGAAATGTTTTTTAAATGTATCTTGAAAAATGTGTCAGAATGCATCTGTCAAGTTTTTTAGAGTGACCAGTAACTTTTTTCAGGATTTTAAATAATTTGAATGAGTTTAGAGACCTTTATTGAAGAGATGGCTTAAAAATCCGAAGCATCAACCATAAGAAAAATTTTGTAATAAACATCTTTAAAGCTGCATCTTCCATGCTGGTACATACTACATTGCATATGTTGACATTTTATTAAATACATTTTATAATGAAGAAAAATAATCATAGTTAAAAATTCAAAGACCAGTTTCTACCTTATGTGGGTCTGTTGAATTTTGTGGAAAGGGTGGGTAAACCCAGACTAGTTTTGTTAAATAGAAGTTGATCCCTATTATTTTGGGAATGTTTGTTGGACTTAGAGATTCTATTATCATGTCACTGATTATATGAGGTTTGAGATACTGAAAGGCAATGATCACTGTTGCTTTTAGGCTCCCTTACTTTGTGGGAATATGGTATACTTTCAGGAATATACTGCAGACTTTTTTTGTAATTCATTGGGGAAAAAACATGGTAAATTGCAGCTTGGGATTTATCAATTTCCTAAAAGCTGTGACTGTTTTGCTGGGGTACACTGGAGGTAGGAAGACTACTGAAAACTTTTGCACTTGAATTTTAACTTTTTCTTTCATAAAGAGTAGTAGAGATTATCCATTCCAAAATGTCTTTTATCTGATCACAAAGGACAAGCAAATGTCAGTATCTCTTATGATGGTAAAAATAGGAGTTATTTAATGCAAATAAACTTTTCACAGTATTAGACTTTTCAAAATGTGCCTTTTAATCCAGCTAATGAATGAAGCTATATGCCGTGTTTCAAGTAAGTAGATAAAAACGCTATATATTTTGATACTCTTATGTGGTAATCTAGATTTTGTAATGTAGGTTCATAAAATTCTCTTTGCCTTCCATTTGTGACTGAAAAAATTGTTTAAAATTGGGGGGCTATAAAATGGTTACCTTAAATGGCCATTTAGAAATGTTCAGTATACCCTGCCACCAGTATGGTTTCAAAAGAATATAGGATTCTTTAAGAAAATTCCCTAGAGACAGTTTGCCTGTCTAGACATTCATGTACAGAAAATTATCAAGATTCATAAAAAGGGAGGCATAAAGCTGATGCTCTGATTATTGTGAGTATAGCTACATACAATTGTCTAGACATGAACACATTTCAGAGAAGCTGATAGCCAACAGAAGCTGAAAAAACTATTCAGTTTTTCTCCTGTTTAGAGCTGGTATTGAGCCCCACTCACACTAATAAAAATGTGTTTTCATAGTGTTATTCATGCACAGCTTATCATTCACATCTTGGGGAAGGGTGGTGAATAATGAGTGCTTAAGTGAAATTTCTCTCTAGTTCTCACTAAGCCTAAAGCAGACAAAGAGCTTGTTTCGAGGCCACAAAAGGACTAAAGAAAATACTGAGTTGCTTTTGCTCTTAACTTTTATTTGTCACAATATGGTTGAGAAAAAGTTGTAGAAAACGGGGTGAATTCAAAGTCCTGCTTGTAGTATGCTAGCCTCTGAAATTGAGCAAATTACTTAGTATGGACACACTATGCCTGTGCTTAACTCCAGCAAAAGGTATCTTAACTGTGTTTTCCAAAATTAACAAAATGAATCCTTACCAAAGTTGCTATACTTGGGAACTTTCAAAGACAACTGACAGTGAAACTTAGACAAATGGACAGGAGGTATTAAATCACTTGTAAAGACATTAAAACTAAACTCAGTAAAAGCCCATCATTTGTATATTATGAATGAGCAAAAACTGCTTTTGTAAAGCATTTTATATCAGAAATCTGGGCAATAGTATCTTAGAATGCCATCTAAAAATGTCACCTCAATAGCACACACACATATATTTTTTTGTGGTACACGGGCCTCTCACTGTTGTGGCCTCTCCTGTTGCGGAGCACAGGCTCCGGACGCGCAGGCTCAGCGGCTATGGCTCACAGGCCCAGCCGCTCCGCGGTATGTGGGATCTTCCCGGACCGGGGCACGAACCCGTGTCCCCTGCATCGGCAGGCGGACTCCCAACCACTGCACCACCAGGGAAGCCCAATAGCACACTTTTCAGATCATGTGATTATCCTTGTAGTACTACCTAGTGATAAACTTTAAAAAAACTGTTACAGCTCATTTTAGGAATAGTACTTCTGGCCATAATGGCACATATGGTACATGGAATTAGAATTTTCCTTTTGCCACAGCACCTAAAAAATCTGAAGGAAATTTCCTGTGTTTTAAAGAAAGGTATTTGGCACTCATTCCTGAATTTGCAGGTGAAAATGATTAATTAGCCTAAAGCAGAAACTGTAGTATAAAAACACAAAAATAAGATGCACCTGTACCTCCCATAGAATTCTTGGTCACTGAAGAAGGCTGACAGTGACTGGCGGGGATGTTTAAGTAATGAACATGGGTAGCATAGGAATTCTGAAGAAGTGAAGCAGAAATTATGTAGTTCATACACGTTGTGGCTTATCTGCTTGGTCCTGCAGTTTCAGCCCATTCTTGTGGGTTCCAGCTTATGGTTCCAACTTATTCTTACCCCTCTCAACTATCCTTCTTTTCTTGACTGCCTGTGGGCTTTAGTCTTCAGCATCAGATGCACAGCATAGAAAACTTTGAGACTGTTAAACCAACTCCCACAATTAAGGTCAAATCTCTGTCAACAAATCTTTTTGGGTCATTTGGCTCCCTGGATTGAATGCTGACTGATTGATAAGAACAAAATTACATGATGCTAACCTACAGGATGCTTGTCTTCCGAAACCTGATATTTAACGCCTACTATAACCTTTAAGTATATTCTTAAGAATATTCCCACTAGCAAGGAATTAGCATGGTTCACACGTTATTTTGCTGAAGAATGTCTATATGAATTTTACATATACTTTGATATTGTAAAATGAAAATGGGAAAATAAACTAAGTGAAACAGACTCAAAATCAACAACTCCAGAATTAGTCTCATTTAAAAACTACCTCTGTTAATAAACCCTTAGTAACATATTCTGATGCTCTTTAAAAGTATCAGTAGAGTTTCCATATTTAAACACAACTACATGTATTTGATTAGAGAAAATATTTTAGATAGGAGTGAAATGCACTAGCTAGATTTGAGACAAAAGGAACAGAAATCTCAATTCCAGTTTAAAAGATGTCTATCGATCTTCAAACAGCACAGACCACTTAATCTGGTGCCCAAGTGAAGAAAGTGGTATTGTTTTGCCAGAGGAAAAGTAGGCTTGTACAGGCTATATGACACTGAGAGCAGAAAATCAGTTTTAAGATGCAACTCCAAGGTGAATGTAAAATTAGTTTTCACTGTTCTGGTAGAAGCCCAGTTTGTCTTTCTTCCCTAAGTAACTAATATTCTTCTACCTTCCACATAGAATCACTACCAGGGAGCTTATTATCCAAAACCTATATTCACAAAAATGTAAAGGGAAATATAGCCATATCTGCATGCAATTTATCTTAGTGCTTTTGCTAAAACGTTACCCCAAACTAAATTTTCATATAGTTTTGAAAAGCTCCATAATTAAATAGCAGGTACCATTTACTGACCCAGGCACACAGGGCTACATTTTTTTCTACCAACTACTTTACAAGGTAGATATCACTCCCATTTTACAGACAGGAAAATGAAGGTAGGAAACACAGGTCTCCCCTGCTGTAAATGAAGCTGAAATTCATGACTGGGCTCTTAAATAGCTACTACCTCATTCACTCATGAAGAATTTAAGCAAATAAATAGCACAAACATTTTTCTAACAAAACCACTTTTATTTTTTAATCATTTTCACTACCAAATACAGAACAAAATTCAGTGTGGAGGCAGTGTTCACTTGATTTCGACTGGTTATGTGTTAAAGGCTTCTGTCCCGTGCAACCCTACCTTTGTGCATAAATGTTCACTGAAAAATAACCTAAGTATAGACTCCCTTCACGACAGCATCTTAAGTCAGTGGTACTATTTTAAAGCCCAAAATTTCTTAATCCCTTTTTAGAAATCAGCATACTATATATTCAAAGACTACAAGTGAGGGAATAAAATTTGAGTAATATTAGGCTTAACCAAGTGAAACCGCCAATATCTTGTTTTTGACTTACAAAACCGACAATATCATATGGTTCAATCTTTAAATGTTTTTCTACTAAATTTTTTTGTAAGTTTAAAGAATGTCATTTGCATTCAACTTCGTGTTTAAAAATGCAGTGATTTTTAGGACCATTACTAGAACGTCTTACTCACTACAGACAAAATTCCCTTCCATAAAATCTTTAAAAAGTTACTACAAACTGTAAAAACAATGCTGGCTTATCTATACGGCATTTCAATTCTAAAAGTTAAAAAAAAAAATTATACTCCAATTTGGATAAAAGCTACAATTCCGGCTCATTTTCCCCTTAATCCCAGCCACTCAAACACTACTCATTTCATAAATGAATAAATATACTATTTAGTATTGTACAGTAGATACATACCATTGAGTTTCTATACTATTCCAGAAAAGTATGTTTATATTCACCAAAAATATAAATTTACTAGATATAGGTGGGATCATTTGTTTATCCTAAAGTTCATTGCTTTATTCAACCCAAGTCCTACACCCAAAATATAAGAAAGAAAATTACACTTAGGAAAAGACTGTTTTAGATAGAAATTAAACTAATTCTGACAATTCTAATGGCAACTAATCACTACAGTGATGGATTCCATCTTACTACTATATTAAAATATGTGGACTGAAAGGAAAAAGAACTTGATATGTAAAATGAATGAGGTAAATGCCATACATTCAACAACGTAAATAAATACAAATACGGTTTTACAGGAACATAAACATAAGTTTAAGGGTTTTATTATCAAAGTCTTGTAAAACAATTTCAGAAACTGTACATCAACATGGCACAGACTGTAGCCTACTTTTGTTTTTACTGCACAAAAGTAAAGCTTGGAAACTCCTGTAAGAAAACAGTTGCCTAACTACTTTGCATTTAACATGGAATCACTGTGTGCATAAGATTACTACTGCAGTAACAGTAACACAAAATTTATTGGTTTTATACAACTTGAGATCAAATAAAAAGTACATTATCAAGTAGATCTGTCTTATTTTTAAAAGCATATGAAGGTCAATTTAAAATGCACTATCCCCCTTTTCCAACAATGAGTTTAAAACAAATTAATAAAAGAGTGGACAATTGAAAATCAGGACAAGAGATAACTCTCTTTTACAGATGGACTTCAGGATAGGCAGATAACTTTCACTGATGTAGATGTTCAATAAATTATTTTAGGAAAAAAAATTCCCAAACACCTTATGAAAAAGTATACAACTCTACTCCAAAATATGCTATTTACTTACTGCCAAAGACAGTTTCATTGAAATCTTGGTTCTGTAATTAAAGCCTAATTATAGCCATCAAAAAAGGTTAGTGCATATATAACCCTTCAAAGTTAAACAAAAGCCACAAAAATTTAGCCACAAGGCTTAAAGGATTATCTATTTCAAATGCTCATTTCCAGATGTAACTATAAGAATGTTAATTTGTCATGTCAACAAACAAGACCATAAGTAGATCCATCATGTTGGAGGATGTGAATGACATTTAGGATATTCCTGCCACAATTAACATGCAATCAGTGCATTCCCTACATGGCTCTATTACGGCAATGAATCAAATTCTAGAAATACTACAAGTGAACTTAATAAAGGAGATCATACAACATAAACAATCCATGCCTGCTGTAGATGCATGCAGCTTTTCATTTTTGTTATGAAGCAGCACCAGAATAGTAAAACTGCTTGTTTACTCAATCAGATTTCAACCTGTCAAGAACTGGTTACCCATGTATCATTTTTCTAAAAGCTTTTGGATGTAAATAACGAATATCAACATCAAGAGCTTTATAACCATTTATGACTCAGAGCTGTATACATCTAGATTTGAGATGAACAAATACAGCATTAAGAAATCACACAGAGGAATGACACTGATGCACGTATACAGTTGGATTCCCACAGAGGCAATATTCAGTCACTCATATCCATGTCTTCTTCATGATGATCATCGCCATTCACTTTGGATTCTCTTAGTGAGTCACCAGTTCCCTTTTCCACAGAACACTCTTTTGCTTTAGGAGAAGCTGGTTCTGTCAGTTTCTTCTCCTCTTTCTTCTCTTTCTCGCTGTCATACCCCTGCTCCTCTTCATCATAGTCCCGTGTAACCTGCTTTGCCAAGGAAAATAATAAAAGTAAACGTCTTCACAGGAAAATCACTTCTTTAAAGTACCAGCATCACCCAAAACACCAAAATAAATTAGTTTGTAAACATACTTTTACATCTTTATCACTCTCTGATTTTCTTTCCCGTTCCTTTTCCTTATCTTTACTTTTCTTCTTCTTGCTTGTGGATCGTTCTCTTTCATCTCTGCTTCTTTCCTTGTCTTTATCTTTCTTCTTCTCCTTTTTATGTCTAGGATGACAGTAAAATGCTGACAAGATGCTTGAAACGAACTGCTCAAGAACTTTCACCATTAATTAAATAGGAGTAAGTTTAAACTTGTTTTAGATGGCAAACTTGACGACCCAAGTTCACTTGCTATAAAGAGGACAGCAAAGATCCAATTTCAAGTCACTGGATACAAGCTGTATATAAGTAATATAGGGAAGAAGACTATAACTTGATTACAGATCGAAAATGCCCAATCCTAAACAGTGTTTATTATAACACAGCCTCAAGTCATGAAGAGAGTGTATCAGCACATTCTTAAGCATTTTAATTCCTGAAAAGGAAGAAAAACTCTAGTACAGTTCCTGAAAAACAGGATAGATTTAATAAAAGATTAATATTCTTACCTCCTAGGGGATGGTGAGCGAGACAATTTTCTTTTGGGAGACCTAGGCTTTTTAGGAGATCTTGTGCCACTTCTGCTTCTTCGTCGTCGTCTCTCCCTAGAACCACAAATGTGCAAGCTAGACTTTAAAATACAGTATTATCCAAAAAATGCAGACACATCATAGCAAATGTGTCTATGATGGAGCTCCACTAGAAAGAGGATTCTGAAAACGAAAGACCTATTTTCAAATACTGTTCTGAGCCTAAGAAGCAAATGAATACTAAAAAACTGCAATTCTTTTTTTGTAAACTATGTGCCTTTCCTTTAATGCCCTCAAGAAAACCCTAATTTTAGCAATACTTCTTAAAGACGTTATGTCATCAAAACATTAGAAATGTTAAACTTGGGGAAAAACTGATTAACAAAAGTTCTAACTCAAGGAAAAACAGTCTGAAGTAAATTATTATTTATGGAATCAGTTTTAGATTCATTCAGTGGCCAGAACGTGTATAGGATAATATGCTGTGTTACGGAAGGCAGTTGCTAATAAAATCCAAAATTACTTCTAAATGATTAGGTAAAAATTTAGAAAACCACAGTTAGTGGTAACACAGATCAAACTGATTTCCTGTTGTCTAGCAAACCATGCCCAATTCACGCCCTGCTTTGAGCAATTAGCTTTTTAAGGTGTACCTCTCCTCTCTCTTTCAATTTTGACTTAAAAAAAATTGTGTCTACAACACAAACACATGGGAAGGAAAGTCCTGCCCTATTCTTGGACTGGAAGAATCAATATTGTTAAAATGACCATACTACCCAAGGCAATCTAGGTATTCAATGCAATCTTTATCAAAATACCAATGGCATTTTCGTAGAACTAGAACAAATAATTTTAAAATTTGTATGGAAACACAAAAGACCCTGAATAGTCAAAACAATCTTGATAAAGAAAAACAGAGATGGAGGAATCATACTCCATGTCTTCAGACTGTACTACCAAGCTACAGCAATCAAAACTGTATGGTACTGGCACAAAAACAGACACACAGATCAATGGAACAGCATAGAGAGTCCAGAAATAAACCCACACACTTATGGTCAATTAATCTATGACAAAGGAGGCAAGAATATACAATGGAGTAAAGACAGTCCCTTTAGTAAGTGGTGCTGGGAAAACTGGACAGCTACATGCAAAAGAGGGGCAGAACATTCTCTAACACCCTATCCAAAAATAAACTCGAAATGGGTTAAAGACCTAAATGTAAGACCAGATACTACAAAACTAGGGGAAAAGTAGAAAGTGCTTTGACATAAATCACAGGAATATTTTTTTGGATCCATCTCCTAAAGTAAAGGAAATAAAAGCAAAAATGAACTAATGAGACCTAATTAAACTTACAAGCTTTTGCATAGCAAAGGAAACCATAAACAAAACAAAAAGACAACCTACAGAATAGGAGAAAGTACTTCCAAACAATGACAGTGACAAGGGGTTAATCTCCAAAATATACAAACAGCTCAATATCAAAAAAACAACGCATTCAAAAAAACGGGCAGAAGACCTACACAAACATTTCTCCAAAGAATACACACAGATGGCCAACAAACACATGAAAGGATGCTCAACATCACTAGTCATTGGAGAAATGCAAATCAAAACAACTGAGGTATCTGTCACCTCACACTGGTCAGAATGGCCATCATCAAAAGGTCTAAAAATAATAAATGCTGGAGAGCATGTGGAGAAAAGGGAACCTTCCTATACTGTTGGTGGAAATGTAAATTGGTGCAGCCACTGTGGAAAACAGTAAGGAGGTTTCAAAAAAAACTAAAAATGGAACTACCATATGACCCAAATTCCACTCCTGGGTACATATCCAAAAAAAAAAACCCCACAAAAAAACAAAAGAAAAAAACAAACCCACAAACAAACAAACCAAACCCCACACAATTTCGAAAAGGTACATGCACCCCAACGTTCACAGAAGCATTTTTTAACAACTGCCAAGATATGGAAGCTATGTTAAGTGTTCATCAACAGAAGAATGGATAAAGAAAATGTGCTGTATCTATACAATGGAATATTAGTAAGCTATAAAAAGAATGAAATTTTGCCATTTGCAGCAACATGGATGGACATGAGGGCATTTAAGCTAAGTGCAGTAAGTCAGACAAAGGATTAATCTCCAAAACATACAAGCAACTCATGCAGCTCAATATCAAAAAAAACAAACAACCCAATCCAAAAATGGGCAGAAGACCTAAATAGACATTTCTCCAAAGAAGATATACAGATTGCCCAACAAACACATGAAAGAATGCTCAACATCATTAATCATTAGAGAAATGCAAATCAAAACTATGAGATATCATCTCACACCGGTCAGAACGGCAATCATCAAAAAATCTACAAACAATAAATGCTGGAAAGGGTGTGGAGAAAAGGGAACCCTCTTGCACTGTTGGTGGGAATGTAAATTGATACAGCCACTATAGAGAACAGTATGGAGGTACCTTAAAAACCTAAAAAGAGAATTTTTTTTTTTTTAGAACCATACGACCCAGCAATTCCACTACTGGGCATATACCCTGAGAAAGCCATAATTCAAAGAGTCATGTACCATAATGTTCATGCAGCTCTATTTACAATAGCCAGGTCATGGAAGCAACCTACATGTCCATCAACAGATGAATGGATAAAGAAGATGTGGCACATGTATACAATGGAATATTACTCAGCCATAAAAAGGAACGAAACTGAATTATTTGTAGTGAGGTGGATGGACCTAGAGACTGTCATACAGAGTGAAGTAAGTTAGAAAAACAAATACCGTATACTAACACATATATATGGACTCTAAAAAAAAAAAAAAAAAAAAAAAGTCAGGGCTTTCCTGGTGGCGCAGTGGTTGAGAGTCCGCCAGCTGATTTAGGGGACATGGGTTTGTGCCCCGGTCCCGGAAGATCCCACATGCCGCGGAGTGGCTGGGCCCATAAGCCATGGCCACTGGGTCTGCGCATCCGAAGCCTGTGCTCCGCAACGGGAGAGGTCACAACAGTGAGAGGCCCGCGTACAGCCAAAAAAAAAAAAAAAGGACAGAAGGGCATAGGGGCAGAAGGGGAATAAAGATGCAGACCTACTAGAGAATGGATTTGAGGATATGGGAAGGGGGAAGGGTAAGCTGGGACAAAATGAGAGTGGCATGGACATATATACACTACCAAACGTAAAATAGCTAGCTAGTGGGAAGCAGCCGCATAGCACAGGGAGATCAGCTTGGTGCTTTGTGACCATCTAGAGGGGTGGGATAGGGAGGGTGGGAGGGAGGGAGATGCAAGAGGGAAGAGATATGGGGACATATGTATAACTGATTCACTTTGTTATAAAGCAGAAACTAACACACCGTTGTAAAGCAATTATACTCCAATAAAGTAGTTAAGAAAGAATAGGTCAGACAGAGAAAGACAAATACTGTATGACATAACTTATACATGGATCTAACAAATACAACAAACTAGTGAATATAACAAAAAAGAAGCAGACTCACAGATATAGAGAACAAACTAGAGGTTACCAGTGGGAAGAGGGAAGGCAGGGGGTAATATATGTGTAGAGGATTAAGAGGTACAAACTATTAGGTATAAAACAAGCTATAAGGATACATTGTACAACACAGGGAATAGCCAATGTTTTATAGTAAGTATAAATGGAGCATAATGTTTAAAAATTGTGAATCACTATACTGTACAGCAACTAAATTAAAAATAAAAAAACAACAAACAAATCCCACCTAATGACAGCAAACTATTGGGTGTAAGACAGGCTCAAGTATGTACTGTACAACATGGGGAATACAGTCAATATTCTGTAGTAACTGTAAGGGGATAGTAACCTTTAAAAAATGTATAAAAATTTTAAAAAATTAATTAAATGAAAAAAGTTATAGGACTTTGAAGATGACCATTATATGATTTAGGCACAAACAAAATAATCAAAAAAATAATAAAGCCCTATACCTTCAGTTGTCTTCATTTCAGCTTCCAAATTAAGCTTTAAATAACAAAAACCACCTTACAAGTCATCTGTGACCCCTGTCCTGGAAGCATTACACAGAACTTTCCCTTCATCAAACATTTAAGTTTGTCACGGTTGTATACCTTACACTTTCTTGTACTGCTTTGTGTAACTAATATTCCAAATTCCTTAGAAGAAAATGATGTTTTTTATATTGTATTTCTGTGCCCTATGATAGACTGTAGTATGGCTGCAAACAATAAAAATGTATAGAATATGCCATAATTTAAGAATGATTCAATAGTTAAATAGGATAAGATGCTTATGAATAAATCCATTAAATAAAGAAACAGGCAAACGATATGCCTCCAGTTTTTAAGGTAAGAATACATATTGCACATCCCATCTTTTATGCCCCTTTGCCACCTCAGACCTACTATGGCATTTCCTTGAGCACTTATATCTGGTTTAACTTTCTGTTTTAATATATTTATATGTGTCTTTTTAAAGAAAATATTCAGCACCTTGAAAAGAAACCCCATATCCTTTAGCTATCACACTCCAACCACTAATCTACTTCGTCGTTACAGATTTATCCATTCTGGACATTTCATATGAATGAAATCATACAACATGTGGTCTTTTGTGTCTAGCTTCTTTCACCTGGCATGTTTTCAAGGCTCATGCATATTATAACATGTAACAGTACTTTGGTTCCTTTTTACTGCTGAATAATAATCTATTGTATGGAATGTACAGCTTTGTTTACCCATGTTAGTGGATATTTGGGTTGACTTTTTGGTTTTGAATAATGCTGCCAAGAATATCCAATCCATGTACAAGTTTTTGTGCAGACATGTTTTTGTTTCTCTTGGGCATATCACTGGGAGCAAAACTGCTGTGTCAAAAAACTCTCCCTGTTTAATTTCTTTAGGAATTGCCAAACTGTTTTCCAATGCAGTTGCACAAGTCTACATTCTTTCTAAGACTGAGCTGTAACAGTTTTTTATATATTCTAGATACAAGTCCATTATTGGAAACATTATTTTTCTAGCACTCTGACAGTTGTCTTTATATTCTGAGTGTTCTTTGAAACAAAG